CTATTCCAGGAATCATGTGTTATTACCCCAAGGGAAAGCATGGCTTAGTGTCTTCTAGCTGTTTGGTAGAACCCTTTGTAGAATGGAGACTTCTTGTGCAGTGTGCATTTATGACCCACTGTAGTACAGCATGGTGCTTTATCCCTCTCTTGTAGCTGAGCCACATATAGAGATTTTAATCTGCTAATTCCTTTGATCTCATGGATCAGGTCCTTTCCCTCAGGCAGCAGGGGCTCTCATGCTTTCAGATCTAGAAGTCTATGGTTCAGTTCCAGCAGGCAACCCAGTGAAGGGTGGTGTTACAACTGTCATCACAATGGCTTGTGCCAGTTCTTCTGATGTCAGTCTCCTGGTATTACATTAAAGCTGTAATCACTTGCTTCACATGCCAGAGCAACTACTGCAGTAGGCAAACAATCCCCTAAAAAGGGGGACAAGTAAAACAGCAAGTGACAAATGACACTGCAAGATCTAACAGTGCTTTCTGCTGACGGGGTTCTTAGAGGAAACGGGAAAATGATAGACTAGGTAAAATATTACTTGAACCACAATGGCAGTCACTTTAGTTCTAGCTTTAAATACATGTGAATAATGACCACCTAGTGAGCAAAGATCAGAGGGCAAACCCCATACGATGGTACTTTGAGTCTTGCCAGCCAAGAATAATAAACACTTTAGTAGAAGAGAGTGTTCTTTAAAACAAAAATATTTCAATCAAAATTAGTGGCATTTCCATTTTCTTTTCTTTCCTATGGCATAGTGCCCAATCACAGTGTGATATCTCACTCTCCATTAATGATCTTAACTATCAAAGGCTTTAAAAAATTAAAAAATGGTTTTCATGCTTTGTTCATTTACTAAGTTCCAGTGATTCCCAGAAATCAATCCAGGTTCCCTGGTGTAGTAAAAATCCACCAGTCAGTTGTTTCCACTGTTTCAATGTGAAAGCCATTATGAATGGTGTGGCATTGGAAGTCATCTGCTGAAACTAGGGGTCCCACTTTAATTCTAGCACCCCACTTTTAGAGGTACCAGGAGTCCTGTGACTTGGAGTGATAGCTTGCAGAAGTTTGTGTCTAGTTTACTAAAAATATTAAGAAGCTACTGTATCTGAATAACATAGCACAAAAAAAAAAGATAAAGAGCATGAACAGGCAGTGAGGAGGAAGACTGGTCTGTCCCAGTTCCATTTGCAGCTATAGTTGCAGTTGAAGAGCTTTGGAATTTGAAACAATTGATGTAAAACTTCTTACTCTTCCTCTTGTGTCTGGTAGGGCTGTACCTGAAGGCTGGTAGACTAGGAGATCATAACTAATAAATAATACAGTAGTAAATAGTAAACTACCTAGATTACCCTCCAACAAAGGCTGATGTAAATGACTTCTGTAGACCCTCTCGCAATGCATGCGCCTCTCTGGAACCTTAAGCTTCTCAATAAAATAAGTAAGTATTACCAGCCCTGAAATATTGTCCCATTTGGAAGGGAATTAAGCTATGTAGCTCATCAGAGTTGTAGCCAAGCAGTTCTGCATTCTGAGTGACAGTGCTATTATTTCACATACCCGCAAGCCAGCACCTGGGATGTGCCCTAGTCACTCTCCCGTTAAGTTATGCTACTGCAATTGAGGATATCCTTACTCATAGTAGTGAGCACACAGATAGCCTTCTTCACATCAGCAGGATGGACAATGCTTACTATTTGCAGTATCCTTGAGAGAGTCAGTCAAAATTTGAACTGACTGAAAAATGTGAACCTTGTTTGCAAACATTTCAGTGAAGAGTTTATTCCTTCTGCCCTCATAAAAGAAAAAAAATGTGGGAGTTTTTTAGCCACCTGTAGTGAATGAATCAGTTTCACATCTTTTTTAATCTATGTTTTTGGATCTGAAGACAAGCTTTGTTCTCTTGTGTAGGAAAAGATGTTAGATCAATACATGACAGGACTAAAGACACTTACGGTATGTCTGCCAGTGTGCCACTTAGTGCCAGTCAGCATATGTTGTGCTGCTCCCTGTGGACGGCCTCCTGAACTGGAAGCAATGTAATTGCGTTTTTGTAGTATTGCTCATGGGCTAGTTATGTGATGGCTGGCTAATTAGCACTGCCACTTAACAGTGCTAATTAGTCCACCCACAGCTCTCTGCAAATGCAGCTTTGCTGCTTCCAGCTCAGGCTATTCAGCCTAAGCAGAGCAGCATGGTGTGTCTGAGGGCATCTCTGCTAGGGAAGGTCAGTTTCTCACATAGACATCCATACCTTTTAGGTTTTTAGCCTACCTACTCCAAGACACATTTTCTCCCATAAATTGTCAACCTTTTAAACCCACTTGCAAACAGCACTCTAGGTGCCTGGAAGTTTATATGTGCATTTTCAGTGACATATGTTTGCAGATTTTGACTTCCTTATTTGTGTTACCCAGCAATTTACCACAGGAATAATCTCACCTAAGTCAAGTGCCTAACAATGAGTAATAAATGCACCTGACCCGTAATTATCAGGGCCTCACAAAATTGTTCTCCAGCCATTCTTGTAAAAGGCTTCTTATAGCAGACCAAAAGCTAAAACAGATTTTAGAAACTCATGGAGGGTAAAGATGGGGTCACAGCTGTCTACTCCTCCAGAATTTCTGACCCTCACTTTTTTCCTTCTCTTCATCTTTTTCTTTGATATCAGTACTATGAATACCCACTTTTCAGAGCAACAGCTATGCCTATGTCTGTCTTGTACAGTGCTGAGCATACTGTCACGAATAGCAATGCAACAGGTTCATGGCAGCCAAGGGCTGTTGTCTGAATATGGAGTTAATGACAATTCCCACACAGTAATGAGACAGGCTTCAGCAACAACTTTATACATGTTTCAGGTAGACCTGGGAATTAGAGCCAACTCCTCCAGTTGGCTTGAGCCCGGCTGAATTTGACATGTTACTTTATGGAAGGAATTCTGTGCTTACATACTGTGGGTTTCTCTTGCACAGACATGGGCAGTTCTGGAGAGGGAATTCAGTTCCACCCCTATGGAAAAGTTTTTAAATTAAGTACCTCAGGTTTTATTCATCTCTTTGAAGTGGTGAACATAATGGAAACTTGCTGTTTCTTTTTCTACTCGGGCTTATCTTTATGTTCACATTAAGCCATTTCCTGAACCAATTACAATCTGAATGGACTGTTAGCATCCCGGCAACTGAAGTTCAAACCCTAATCTGGTTGGTCATAATTGACCCAAATATGAAGCACAGCCGTATATTCTGATTGCATTTGTCATTACACCTAAATTAGCCTGTATCTTAAAAGTATTCACTACTTTTATTTTATGCACTTTTATTTTCAACACCTTTAATTGAAGAAACATACCAAAAAGTGCAGAAGGAATTGAATGAGGTAACGTCAGAGCAATTGGCAATAATTTTTAAGAACTCATGAAGACTGGGTAAGGTACTGGACAACCTGAAAAGTGAAAATATAGTGTTCATTCTTAGGAAAGGGAAGGAGAATCTGGGAAATTATAGACCAATCAGTCTGACCTCAATGCAAGGAAGGATTTTGCAGCAAGTCAAGAAGTCTATTTCTAAGCACCTGGAGGAGAACAAGGTGATCAGAAACAGTCAGCATAGATTCATCAAAAGTAAGTCATGCCTGACCAACATGATTTCCTTCTATGACAAGGTGACCAGATATACAGATAGGAAAGCAGTGGATATAATAGATGTAACTTTAGCAAGACTTTTGACACTGTCTCCCACAACATTTTCATAAGTAAGTTTAAGAATTGCAGACTAGGTGAAAAATACTGTAAGCTTGAATGTGCTCAACAAATAAGTCACTAGTGATTCAATGTCTAGCTGGGAGGAGTTACTAAGTGAAGTTTCCCAGTGGCCTGTCTTGAGCCCAGTATTAGTATCTTCATTAATGATTTGGATTACAGGATTGAGTGCACACTTAGCAAATTTGCAGAGCTGTAACAAGTTGGTGGTGCTCTGGGGGACAGGGCTAGGATCCAGAATGACCTTGACAAACTGGAAAAAGTGGTCTGAAGTTAATCAGATGAAATTAAAAAAGGAGAAGTGCCAAGTCCTGCCGTTGGAATGGAACACTTGCATGCACAAATACATGGAGAAGGACTGGCCAGGCG